GAACTTACCATTTTCATCGTTCAAGTCACATACCACCTCCTCTAACGCCAGCTCTAGCTGCCTCTGCGTCAGAAATTTTGGCATTTTTCACAAAAATTAAAGCAGAAACACGCACTCAAACTCGATCGGAGCAAGACTAAATAGTTCTAGCGTACGTCTAGACAACAACTATTTATGTACTTCCCCGAATACTATTTCTGTACTTCCCCGTACATTATTTCTGTACTTCCCAGGGCTTGTGCCGACACTGCCGACAGTTTACACTTATTCGGCCGTTGATGCGTATACGCAACGACATTATTTATGATCTAATTTAGGGAAGAGAAAATTCATCTAGATCATGCATTTGAATTTTATCATGAATTTTGAAATATATTTATTGAGATGTGTGTGTCAAAACACTGCAAATAATAAAATGTATATGATATTTTGATTTTTGAAAATTTCGGAACATCATGTAACAAAATTTGGTTTTTTTGAAAATTTCTTAAAAAAGTACAAATTAAGAACTTATTTTAAATATGATCTTATCACCTTTGTTGGACATTCTAGCAATAATGTTGGTGCCCAGTTCATGTTCAAAGTGAACCCATTTTTTATAAAAAAATAATTTGTGCGGTGTTGCGTATACGCATCAACGGCCGTAAATGGGTTAATAAAATATTCATTTATTGTTTTAATATAAAAGATACAAATTCTTATTTACATTATGTAATAAATAACAGTAATAATAGCGCCCTCAGTCTCAGTTGGCTTTTCTGCACCTGAAAAATATGAAATAAAAATTAATACCAATTGAATTGTTCATACCCTTAAAACGGGGATATTTATCACCTTTACACTGATTTGGATATTAAATGACTAAGTCAGATAACTAACAAAAATGAGAAAGTAGGTATGTCACAATTAAGACAAAAAACATCATTGAACTTGGCACAAAATTCGATCGTTGGCCACAACTATTTTTTTTAAATAATCTACTAAGGTTATTTAAATTAGTTATCTAAAGGGAAATTATTCAGAAACAATAATAAATGTACTTACCACCAATAGAATTTATTATTAAAATGTTCTCAAACGCATCGGTGCTTATAATATAATAATGTGTTATAGGTACTCGTATATGTACCATGCTTTGTTATGTGAACATGGCGAACGGCTACTGCTGTCTGGCCGTTTATGATCGACGTCAGAAAACGTTGGCCAATAGCAGAATTCTGTTTTGTTCACATGACTTAGAATTTCTACAATATTATAGAATATTTTTGAAGAAGGGATGTAAAGTATTACTATTTTTTGTAGAGAAAATTACTATTTTTTGTAGAGATAATTATTAATATTTGTACAAATTTTTACAGAAGTTAGTAGTATTAATTACGATAATTGTAATAAATTTCTACTTCTACAAACAATAGTAAAATATACTAAACATTGTGGACTTCTTTCCTATTGTTGTAGCATTTTATTCGACAATTTAATTACTACAATAATTAATAGTTTTTAACTATAAATTGTAGTAAAATTTTCTACAAATTGTTAAGTATTTTTCTACAAGTCTACTACTACAACATTGTAGTAAAATTTTCTAGTCACATTTTTTTCCGTGTACTTTCTAGGTGGACTATGCGAGTGTCATTCTTGCACAATATTTGTGACGCGGTAAATTTTTGCAATGTAGAGTTTAGCACTTCGGAACAGCATGTTGAATTGAAAAGTTCCCGGATTAATCGTAATAACAATGACGTAAAAAAATTAATTAATGGATTGGTTTTCCCAACATTCGCCTTTCCTGCAGAAAGAACTATAAAGACTAGAAAGAAGGAGGCGAATCGGCAATGGTCAAATTTCCGTCCTTCTTTTTATAAAGTTCGCGAAAATGACTGTAGTTGGCATGTCTAATGACAGCGCAGTCAATTTTCTATGTAAGTCAATGTAAAATAAAGTGATTTTTTAAAAAATGATGAAAAGAATCAAAATAATGTGAAAAAAAGTACCGAGTACAAGTAACATGAGTGACAAAAACATCAAAGCAAGATTTTCGTCGTTTCAGATTGTAAAACAGGATAAAAATCAAATGTAAAACTAAAGAAAACACAAAAAGAAATCAATTCAATGTCTTTTTAAAGCTTTTAATGTATAAGTTTCTATAATATAAAATTTTACAGTTATAGATGCTGACTTACAAACTACAACAATTATGCATTAAATTGAACTTACTAGAAAATAAAATTTATTTTTTATAGAGTTTTAATGTTAGATAAAGAGTTGCTACTGTTTTTTTTTCGACCCCAATTGTGTCACTTGTAAATGTTTTTTTATAGGATACTAAACGTTTAGAACAGTGGCAGCATATATATATATATATATATATATATATATATATATATATATATATATATATATTATTTAGTTTATTTAATTAGATAACCCTAGATAAATTTGATACCTGTATGTTTTTATACTGAGCAATTAAAATTTTAAATAAACAAACTCTTACAAAGTTTAATTATTTAATTTTACAAACAAATAATATGGGCACATTGAATAAATGTCCGGTATCTCAATACCTGGACTATATAAAAATAATTATCATCTACCCTACTACACCTAGCTCAATTCTTCTCCAAAATAAATTATATGAACCAAAAATCACCAATTATTATTTTAATCTGAATATACTTTGGTGACTTATAATAAATGACTAATAACTAACTATAATTATATTGACAACCTTAATTTCTAAAACACAACTAGTTATGAATGTTTATTCATAACGAATGTTCAATCATTAACAAAAAAAAAAACTGTTTATAAATAGCGTGTTCTCTCTGTCTGGGGGTATCACTATTCTGTCCTATCCACTTGTCTCCGATCACCTTCTGTTTCTTCTCTCATACATTTTATTACCTTTTATATTTTACATTCAATAGTTTGTTTATTTAATTTCTTTGTATATATCTTTTTAATTTACAACTCTATCTTAACCTTTTCTTACTTTTCATTTTTAAAATTCCAAAATTGACAACCTTTTCCCAAAAATCCCAATCTTTCAAATTTGACTTTTCTCCACCACCTTTTTTTTTACTTAGTCTTCTTCACTTAAGACTTTATACATTATACATTATTTTGTTATACAGGGTTATCAAAAATTGTTTACATTATTTTTATTTATTACTATATTATTATTATTATTATTATTATTAGTAGTAGTTTTATTATTATTTTATAACACAGGGTGTTTTATTAACATATCTATATATATATATATATCATTCCTAGTGCCTATAAAGCACTTTCTAGAGATGATGCTGTTCTATACTTTTAAGAAGATATCACATATTATGAGACTTTATTTAGCTGTAAACAAGTTTATTTTTATTATTTTGACAAAATTATGTATAATTCCCATAAGAAGTCATGTATTCAACGTATGCAGTACCAGCACCCGTGCGATTAATTATAGAAACTCAATTAGCATGTATTTTTTGGGACCGTATTTTGAGTATGCCGATTCGTCTCCTTATCTCTAGTCTTCATAGAAAGAACTTATGTCAATAAGTACTGAAGTCATTTTTGCTGTAAAAGCAACTAGTAACAAGATATCTCGAAAAAACTTATTTTTTCACAATTTATTACAATATAGCGGCGGCGGCGGCAAAATAACGAGGTGGCAAAATAAAAAATCGAAAAGAACAGTTAAAAATACATCAAATCGCCAAATATCAAAACTTCCGCAAATTTTTCCAGCTAAAGGTAATATACAGCACGTAATTACTGGAGTATATAAACACAAGCGAAGCCAAGCCGCAAATTGAACCCAGCACACGCATAGCCCACGTGTGCGTCACTTTGTATAAACATGATTTAAAGGGAGTGGCGCATATTGGACCCTGCCCACGCACAGCACACGCGTAGCCCACGTGTGCGTCACTTTGTATAAACAGGATTTGAAGGGAGTGGCGCATATTGGATCCTGCCCAGAGCTAGCTCAGTCTGTCACCAAAGTAAGTGATCTGTAACCAGCCACACGTGAGTTTGCATTTGCCACACAGATTTCGTGGGCCCTTGGCAGCGTCTGTTTGGTTTGAAAATGGTTGACGATGAAAGTTTAATTGAACTTGTGCGAGAAAAAAACTGTTTTGTACTATCTTAGTCATCCAGACTACGAATACCATGTCTAGAACTTCCTCAGTTAAAAACTCCCCCCCCCCCCCCCCGAGAATTCCTTGCATTCAAGTAACCACTTCTTTTACTGTTCTTTCTTTTTCTCGATAACAGTGCAATAACTTCATCGGTGTCCGATTCAGATTCTAAATCTAGAAGAATTTAACCAAGAGACGCCATACTGCGTCTAGTATGCCACGCTGTGGGCCAGTACTGGGTTCTAGATGCGCTAAGTGAACATAAACTTGGACGTGGAAAAGATGGGTTGGGCGTGGGCCAAGTTTAATTTGCGGCGGGCCGTGCGACAACCCGTTGACAGTAAATAGCAGTAGTGCTTTCAAAACCGTGTCCCCAGCAAGTGCATATTGCAAGTTCGATAAAGAAAGTTTGTAGAACATGGAGTTGGAAAAACATGCGGCCGTTATCGTTCGTTACAAAATTTTATTCAAGAAAATGGTGTCACTGGTCAAGCAGAAAGAACTGATTAGAGGTTTTTTGGAAACACACTCATTGAAAGGGGGAGTAAAAACAGAATCAAGCTGGAGTGCAGATTAATTTAGAATTATGACATGGAAATTGATTAGTAAAGATAATCTACAAAATTAATTTTCTAATATGGTTAAATTGTTAGAATTGATGACAGTTTATGATTTTCAAAATCTTCCTAAATATCGACGTCTGAAGCCCGGATTATATATATAAATGGTCTTCTTAATTATTGGTAAATAAAATTTAAACTTTCACAATCCACAAATCATTTAACATATTTACAAATTTTTGTTTTGTGTTTTTGTAATTGGTTTTAAAAGTAGAATTATTCAATTATTAATATTTACCGATTCTTTAGGAAATCGAAAACTGCCCTTCTTTATCCAAGCTGTAACTTCATCACCTTTTTCCAAGCCCGCCAAATAATTTGACCCCAGGCCAAATCTTTCTCTAACCAACTTAGTTTTGAATTTAACCACAGCCAAAAGTATATGTATCTCATCACCATGAGCCTTACGACTACTCGCAATAGAGAACTCCCTTGCTTTAATAGGAGGAAAAAGTTCAAATAAAATATCAAGAGTTATATTTTTGGTAGCATGAGGGAAATCTTGTAAAACTTCTACAATATTTCTTTTAGGTCTATAAGTATAAGAATATAAATCTTGCTGCCCTTCAGCCGTGGTGAATTCTAAACACTTTTCTTTCTCCAATTCACTATCGGTCAATTGGGCTAAAATCTGAAAAGTGTGTCGCCTTGGTATCGCCATTAAATCAAAATATTCATTACACAATTGAGAGAAAGTTACTTCATATTTGAGCGCATCAGGTAAAGGGATATCTGGATCTTTTTGCGCAAGATTTATTATGGTTTCTCGATGAATTTTAACATTGTGTGTGGTGAGGACATCTTGAAATTCTTCTATTTTCCAATTGAGATTTTTAGGCCGGAGGGCTACAACATCCCCAGGATTATATTGTTGATTTTCGCAGCGAAGTTTTATTAGTCTAACATCCTAAAATATTTAAATATTTTATCAATTTATAGGAATGTCGGTATTGAAAAAAAATTACCTGAAAATGGTCAGAAGACGTAAGTCTTTTATTTTCTATTACGGTAGCTATAAAATCTGAACTCTTTTTAGATTTAGAATAAATAGATTGCAGCCTATTTGAATCTACATTACCATATCTAGTTAATACATTCCATCTGAAATAAAAAGGTTCTTAATATTTTTGTTAAAGTGCTTTTTTTTATGAACAAAGGCGGAATTTAACTAGACTTGAGCAAATAGTTACAAAGAATGTTTCCATTGCAGAAAGGAGTTCATTCCTGCAAACGTATCCGCGAATTTAACAAGTGTTTGTGCTTTCTGACGCACTCTTCTGAGTCAGAAAGATAATGAATCCATTAAAGATTTTATTTGAAAAGTTCATGATAAAATTTTCTTCAGATCTTAAATGCCGAGAATGAAATATTCACATGTACTAATAACTTGCTTATGAATTTGATATATCATTTTAAAAATTAGAACTAGACTTGTCTTTTTTATAGTAAACCACAGAAAGCCAATTTAAAATAAGGGGTAAATGTTTAGTCCCGGGTAGCGTTTCGGGTTGTCCCGGCCTCTAGATGTGACAATGGACGTGTTCACCGTCATCAGTTTCATTTGATTAGGAATGAATACGTTTGAAATAAAAAAAATCATAAATCAAAAACGAAAAGCGATATCAATATGAAATTTTTAGTAGAAATCATGCTCTATAAGGAGATGAAGCCTATTGATTCTGAAAAAAATTTGAATGAAAATGAGGAGTTAAGGGGGGTTGAAATATTTAAAAAAAATCCTAACTCAAAAAACTAAAAATAATATCAACTTGAAATTTTTGGCAAAAATCAAGCTCTATAAGGGGACAAGGCCTATTGATTTAAAAATGGGGGTTAAGGGGGGGGGTTGAATTATAAAAAAGGAATCAAACACCAAAAGCGGTATCGACTAGACATTTTTAGTAAAAATTAAGCTCTATAAGGGAATGAAGCGTATTTATTGTGAAAAAAAATCTAAATAAAAATGGGGGGATAAGGGCAGTTGAAATATTGGAAAAAATCCTAACACAGAAATAAAAAACGATATCAAATGAAAATCTTCAGGAAAAATTAAGCTTTATAAGAGGATGTAGCATACTAATTCTGAAAAAAATCTGATTGAAAATGGAGGTTAAGGAGGGGGTCTAGAGTATAATATAGAATGCCAAGCATTATATATCTTTATTCTAGTTTAGTTTTGATTTGAAATTTTTGTAGCCTAAAAGCACTAGAATATTGGAATGATTTAACCTTCTGGGGTGGATCCATTACATTATATTTAAAAAGTATACCAAAATAGAACACAAAACACCGATAAACTCAGAGAACGCATACGGATAGAGATGGTGCCAATAACTCAGGAAATTACCTACTGAAAAAGTTCAGCAGCAGTTCACTGAGCCTTTATCTCACTGTGTTATAGCTGAGGGTAGTTAATTTGAGCATTTGATTTGAATTTGGTTGTATCCTCTATAATTTATTTAATGTATTGTTTTATTTAAAATCTGTATTTTGCGAGATGAAGACCACCTTGGAATTATGATGTACAAATTGGTGGAATTCCGTGAAATTTCAGTGATAGTCATGAAATTTCAATGAAAGTCCATGGAATTCTAGTGGAAGTTTAATATTTTAACTGTTTTATTTTCTGAATATTGGTTTATTTTTTGTTTTGTTTGTTTTATTTTTCCCTAATTTGAAAACCTGTTGATTTTGTTTTAATTTGCACATCCTATATAGATTACCAAACAATAAAGTACAATGTGAATATTTACAGAGTTAGCATATAAGCAGTATCGTCTTACAATATAGCAAGATGTAAGTAGGATACAAAATAACTAAAATTCACCCCCTTAATAAAGGACGGAGCACAATAACAAGCTATTGTAAAAAGTCTGTAATAAAGAAGATCAAATTTTACAAATAAATTTATTATTTTGTTAAAAAGCAATGATTTTATTTTTTGAAAATAATTCGTGGAAGATGTTTCCGTTCCAATCGAGATCTGAAATTATTCATTATGTTCCGCAGCATTGCCAGGGGAATTTGGTCAATTTCCTGTCAGATCCGTTCTTTCAAGGCTTGAATTGTTTGTGGTGGGTTATCTTGAAACAATTTACTCTTCAAATAATAAGAAAAAAGGCACGTTGTGAGGTTTGGTGAACAGGGAGGCCAGGTGATGCCTCCATTTCGAGAAATCACATAATTTGGAGATAAACCCTTCTGATAAAACGCTTTCACAGCGTATGTGCGCTGCTCAGAGGTCCACCGCTACATTATTTCTAAATACTAATACCATCTACCACCTCCTAACGATATGGCGCAGTGGCAGTGTTTTTAAATTCGCTCGTTATTCTGCTCCATCCTGTACATAAAAGATCAAAAAGACACATTCTAGTTTTACTTATACATCGTTTTATAATTTTCAATTGTTTAAATGAACATCCAAATAGCGGATATTTAAAAATGTTTTTCTAGTCTTTGTAATTCTCATAAATCACAGTGAAATTCCTTGGAAGTACGTATAATTCCAGTGGTAGAGTGTGTGGAATTCTTTAAAGTTGTAGTGGATTTCTTGGAATTATTTAATGAAGTAGTCTACACATTTTTTCAGGTGGTTCACCCCTTGGTATTTTGTGAAATGTGTTATTTTTGTTTTTCAATTTTTTAATAAAAAAAATGTTGACTAATCCCACTATTATCTTAAGTACTTTGAAATATATTTCTAAGAGAAAAATTATATACTCGTATCTACCTACATAAATGTAATACGTATGCAAACGCAGTTTGCATATAGAAAACCAGCAACTACATTGGCAATAATTGAGGATTGAAGGATTATATTTAGGCAAAGAAAGCAACTTTTAGAGAGGAGTCTTAGCAAATATCAAGATAAAGATTCTACATAAGAGATCAAAACGAGAAAAATAAACCGGATTAATAATATAATACAGTTTACCAACTTTAAATTGCTTAATGAGACAATCCAATGGTCTAAGAACTAACGGTCGCAGGGTCGTAAGATCGTACCTCCGGCTGGAATTTAATGAAATGGTTGGAGGGACCATCAGGAAGTGTCATCTCCAAGGATTTAGTTAAAAACCCCCGTTAAGGAGACATCAGACAACGCAGTTGCAAAAAATTATCGGCTAAAAAAACGATTGAACCTCCGGCTGGACATTTGCATTTCACCTCTTTAAAAGTCACAGATGAGGTATGCAAATCGTCAGATGGCTAGGCCACTGCAAAAGGGCTGTCAGATATCTTCAAATTCGTAATTTTTTTGTTGAAATTTACAATACACATATTTGATCAGATAATTCACTTGTCATTCTTATAATTAAGCATTTAATTGTACACTATTTAATTTGTACTGTTTTCTAATATGTTTTGTGCCTAATATTACGATACCTATTTACAATTTTTTTTGATAGTACAAAATAAATAGCGGAAAGATTAATCAATTGCCTAAATGTAGGGGTTAATATTATGATAAATAAAATGTAATTTTATAATGTAATTTTTAAATTTGCAAGTTTTTCCAAAATACCAAAAAATATAGACTGCTTTTATCGGGGATTGAACCTTTGTCGCGAAATGAAAATTTGAATGTATGTTGAATGTTTAACTATGTGAGCAATGGAGACATGTGTCAAGTGAGTTATCCTATCAAATATGTGTAGGTATCTATTCTAAATTTTTACAAAAAATTACAAATTTGAGGGCGTCTGACAGCCCTTTAGCATAGATCTAGCCATCAGACCTATACCTATTATTTGACCTTCAAAGAGGTGATATGTTAATTTTTAGCTGGAGGTAATATCGGATTTTTTAGCCAATATTTTTTACAATTATTTTGAGTTTTTTGACGTCTCCTTTGCAGGAGTTTTAAACTAAATCCTTGCAGATGACACTGCCTGAAGGTCCTGTCAATTACTTCACAAAATTCCAGATGGAGGTACGATCTTACCACCTTGCAGCCAGTAGCTCTCGGTCTATAATATATCAAAGGATTTGGAAAATCAGGGTTATTAGAATCTACCTGTCACTTATTATCCAATGTATTATTATATCAATACACAGTGTTTGCCATAAAAATGGATCCATACGGGAATATTTTTTTAGAAGACAATGAAATTTGGGAACTGAAAAACGAATTTAAGTTTATAAAAGAATTTTAAATTTATAAAAGAACTTTATGAACGTCAAAAGCGTTCAAATAATATTATGATTTTTAATCTAACAGAATCAGCTGACGATATGAATGAGGTCGATACCCTTTTCAAAAAAATCTCTCTCGAGCCTATACCTATCCTGAAAACAACAATAAGAGTCGGGAAAAATAATAAATTCGGCAGCAGAAGCCTTAAAGTAATCCTACCCAGTAATTATGACGTACAAACTGTTCTAAAAGGCCGCTCTAAGCTAGAGGGGACTAGAGTATATATCATTCCGGACCTAACCCCAAACAAACAAGAACATGAAAAAACTGTAAGAGATCAATTCAAGGAGAGGGTTTCACAGGAGGAACAAAATGTTATTATTAAATATATAAGGGGTTCACCACAAATCGCTAAAAAACTAGTTATCAATCATTCTATATCACCGCCTTACTCCATTTTCTACCAGAATTGTCAAGGTTTGCATACTAAACTAAATATTGTGCGTGAAAATTCTCAAGCTTTTTCATATGATTAATCTTAAGCGAAACCTGTTTAAACGACCAGTTCCTTGATACCGAACTCAATCTAAATGGATATAATACAGTACTTATTATGTTGTACTAGGCATAGCCGTGCTTTTACAGCGAACATGTGGCAACTACCCAGCAAACCATTCTGTTACATGTTCCCTCCTGTTACATAACTAAGAAGGATAAAATATACTTAGACTGTCTTGTATGCACTTTTATGTGTTATTTATGGAACCGAACACCTAAGTTCAAACTTAGCACCATAGTTATATACCATGTATATAATTAAAATATATGTTACAAAATTACATATCCGTTATATAAATTTCTTCACGTAAAGGTTATATCAATTTATATATCTATATGTAATCTACATTAAAGTAACAATTTGTACTAAATTATTTCGTTCAAAATGTTACATAGCTTATACATAAATAAATGCTGTTGACCAAACGGTCCTTGAAATACGCATGTTTTTAGGTAAGTAGGTATATCTGGTGCATTATTTTTAGTAGTGTTTCAATGTTCAATGGCGGCTATAGGCGTTTTATGGTGGTACCTGTGGCATTTATGGATTTATTGTGGAAAATAGCAGGTATATTATGTTTTTATAATTAAATTGAGTTATTATATGTGTGTACTGTATTTCGATGATACATTTGAGGTGTAAATATTAATTTTTGTTCTCTTTTCAGGTCATGCTTGATATGGGGCGCTGAATTTTGAGGCCGTGGATGGTCGTTAATTGCAGATGTTTTGTGATTTTTATAATGAATTTAGGTTATTATATTTGTGTGCAATATTTTTATAATACATTTTTGGTTTCGGTTATGAATTTGTCCAATAAAATTATTGATATACCTAACAAATACGTTTAAATTACTTTTCTTTATTCCTCCAAATATTTTAGACGTTTTTTTTTGTAAGTATTTATCATACAGTGTGTCTACTTAAGAACCATATAGAAAAACTTTCTTATTGGTTATGTAAAAAAATTTATTCTAGATAAAAAGCCATGTATGATCCAAAACTTAAAATGCAACCATCAGATATGAATTTTTTAAGCTGTTTGCCAAAAAATATGAATTTTACTCAAGAATAAAGTAGCTTTATTTTTTACAATACAGAAGAATGTTATAAAGTAAAATTATTTTAAATTAAAAGATATATTTAAATATGCAATTACAGCCATTTAGCATTAAAATTCAGGTTTGGTGATTATTTAATTTATAACTACAAATAATTTATAATGTAAAACGTAAATAATCACCTAATCTGAATTTTCATGCTAAATGACTATAATTGCATATTTTAATATAACTTTTAATTTAAAGTAACTTTACTTTATAATATTCTTCTGTATTGTAAAAAATAAAGGTATTTTACTCTTGAGTAAAATTCATATTTTTAGAAAAACCTCGTATACGGATTATATCTGATGGTTGCATTTTAAGTTTTAGACCATGCAGAACTTTTTATCAAAAATACTTTTTTTTACAAAGTCAATAATACAAGAGTTTCCATATTGTTCCAACTTAAGTAGACACACTGTATAACTAATACCTACATTTACATACCTTCATTTATATAACATTTATAATACTAATGTTATATGAAAAAAGTAATGTATATGTGCTGTAATAATGAAGCATCTTAGATGTTACAATGGTAATATAAATGTTACATGTCTTCCGATATATAACACTGTTCCTTACATGTACTTAACCCATTACATCACATATAAGGAACCTGCTATATAACAAAATTAGGTCATTTTTCACAGTAATCACATGAGTTATTATGTAACATGTAAGTTACTTTGTTATGTAACACGGAACTAGTACATGTAAATGATACATATATGTTACATGTTTGTGTTTGCTGGGTACGATATCCCCACTATCGCTGTACTCTCTGGTTTAGTCACTGATATTCGGTTCAGCTAATATCCCACCATCATATCTTCTAACTCTAATCGACGACTGGCTGTGGTCCCATTAACATATACTAGCTGTATGCCTAACACATAAAAAAATAAGCACTGTATATTATATATCGGAAAGACCGAACAAGCCGAGGAATGACAATAACCAAAAGAGAATCTATTTTAACTATTAACAATATCCATTATCATAATCTCTTTCAAAAAAAACAACACTAACAACTCTGAGAATTCGTTACTGGATCTCGTTCTCGTTCATGAAGTAGATTGCAAGGTTTGTATGGCTGTCAAAGAGCTAGTGGTCCCTAACAGATACCATCTTAGTTATTAGTGTTAACCGTAATGATAAGTGTGTAGATAACAGCTTAAAAGCAGAAGATTACTACTATGACTCCAATTCGACAAAATTTATCGGAATTTCTATATAGACGGCATTTTTTGGGATCAATTGCTTGACAACAAAACCCTCGATGAAATGGTCAACATTTTGTATGTTTTATATAGCACTATAGACAGACAGCTTTGTTCATATTAGAAGGTTCTCTTCTGGCAATTTTCCTAAATGATATTCCCAGAGCTAAGGAAAAATGTATAATATAAAAAAAGAGCCCACAGACAATAAAAAACTACTCATCTACCCCAAGATTATAAGGAATTTGCTAGACTTAGAGCCTATTCTAAAACTTTGTCGAGACAATGTTATAGAGATTACGTGAGAAATACTGAGCAGATTCTACCTAGCAACCTCAAAAATTTTGAAACTTTGCAAACTCTAAGAGAAATAACAGTTCAATTCCTAACAGTTATTTATAATGGTAGATCTAGTTCTTATGGCACTACTATGTCAAATATGTTTGCTCAATATTTCTCAACTACATACAGTGATAGCAAATGTGATATTCCAAAAAATACATTTGACAACAGTGGTTTGAACATATCTGATTGTAAAATATCAATATCTGAAATTTATAATAAGCTAAATAAACTGAATATCAACAAAAGTCCTGGACCTGAATTACACCCAGTTTAAGTTCTGTAGTTTAACCTAGCTCACCCATTCTTTTTTATCTTTCAAAAATCTCTAGATACCAAAAGTTTTCCTTCCATTTGGAAGGTTAGCTTCATCTCACCAATCTTTAAAAACTGGGACAAAAGCGATTTTAAAAGCTACAGGCCTATTAACATTTTAAATACAATACCAAAATTATTTGAAAGCATTATTTTTGGCTAGATCAAGCCTATTATAGAACGAGTCTTAGTTGACCAACAATTTGGCTTTGTTAATGGTAGATCCACAGAAATTAATTTACTAAAATATAACAGCTTCCTGAATGATGCTTTGGAACAGAAACAGCAAGTACACGGATTTTTCCAAAGCATTCGACAGGGTTAATGATTGTCTTTTGGTTTGTAAGTTGTAGCAGATGGGATTCTCGGATCCTCTACTCAGTTGGCTTAGGAGTTATCTCTCAGACAGACTGCAAATAGTTCATATAAAAAACAATTACTCTAATGAGATACCTGTTAAGTCCGGGGTACCCCAGGGGTCACACCTCGGTTCCATTCTTTTCAACTTGTTTATTAATGACATCATCACCTGCTTTAAATTCGCCCAATTCTTAATACTTGCGGATGATTTAAAATTTTACACTATTATCAATTATTTTCTCGGTTATTTAAATTTGCAATATATTTAAATGGTGCAGACAAAACGGTATGGATTTAAACATCAATAAATGTCATGCAATAACCTTTACTCGAGGTCGAGAACACAATGCTTATACTTATGATATACAAGACGCACCATTAACAACCGTTAACTCAATAAAAGCTCTTGGTGTGACCTTAACTTTTATTCACATATTAATACCGTAGTTTCTAAGTCACTCAAATGTTAGGCTTAATTAAGAGATGCTGTGCTGATTTCACAGAAGGTTCCACTTTAAAGTTATTATATTGTACTCTGGTCAGATCTCACCTTGAATATGCATCATGTGTTTGGTCTCCTCAGTATAACATTTACATTAATAAAATTAAATATATTCAACATAAATTTTTGAAATTTTATGCTTATAAAATGCATTTAAACTGATCACAGCTACGAATCTCTTCAATTAGATTTTGGAATAGACTCCTTACATCTTTGGCTTGATTTCAGAGATATTCTGCTTTTATATAACTTGATTAATGGTCACAAATGCTGCTCTTCTCTTTCAAGCAAAATTGGTCTACATGTACCTCCAGGATCTATTCGATCAATGAAAACCTTTGAGGAAGTTGCTCATAGAACAAACTATGGATCTCATTCCTTTTTGTCCAGAACAATAAAAATTCAAACGATATTGCACAAGACTTAGATTTCTTTGTGGACATTAAGTTATTTACAAAAAATTTAAGATCATTGACCTCTTGAGTTAAATGTGCTTATTACTGTTTTCTATTTTTAGTGTGGGACATCCTGTATACATCTAACAAATTTTAAATTGTAGCCGTCTGTAACCTACGTATTCCTCCCAAACGAATTTTTTATATCTTTGGTCGTTTTCCCATAAAGCTCCGTCCCGTTGAGCGTGAGCCACCCTGTATATATTTTTCTTTTTATTGTAAACTTATTACTTAGATCTTTCATACTTGTTAATTTTATACTGAACTTTTGTAAATCATACCAGATAAATTTGTAAATGGACTTCGGTCCATTAATTACAATAAATAAATATTATGATTAGAAAAAAAAACATCGTATAGAATTCACCTCTGCTTTTTTAAAAACTTAAAAAAGACCATATCAAAATTGGCCATAATGTCAATAGTCAACTTTGATATGGGCTATTTTAATTTTTTCATAAACAGAGGTGTTTGTATGTCTCATAATATTAAAAATTATTCCCATAATATGGATCCAACTTTAAAGCACTAAAGCAATGAATTATATGCATACTGTTTCTTTATAGTATTAACAATAACTATTAGAGCTTATTTTGGGCTATACAAACCCGGATTACAAATTAGTAGTGAATTAAGTATGTCCTCGTAACCTTGGCTCTATTGCATAATTCTTTGGAAGAGGTGCCAAATTAATAGGCAAAGGATATAATATTAGTAAATTTCTCCACAAATTTTCAATCCAAGAATCAGCTGTACCATCATAACCTAAATCATGTTGATCATCTCCTAATCCTAATGGTAGTATGGGATTGGCACCTAATTGTAACAATCTCTTATTCAATAATTTTGCTGTAAAATTGTATTTTAAATAACTTGAATCTCCTAAACCAAAAACTGCATACCTAAAAAAAATATTAAACAAATTAAATGAAAGGGGTATCCATTCCACATAAAAAACATGCTGTGTGATATTTGGATTATTTTAGAAATTTTTGCTTATGTACTTATGCAATATAACTCTAAACTTCAAAGCAAATGGTGGTTAATTATTAGGTACAATATTTTAAATTATCTTAAAACTGAATTCGACAATGTATTTTTGATTTTGTACAGAATTAACTGAAATAATTACCGTAAATTACTTAGACTCTCAGTAGGTAAGTTTTTTCTCAATAAAAATTTCCAGAAAGCTTTCATATTATCTGGTTCTTCTCCCTGTCCAGTAGTTGAACAGACAAAAATAACACACTTTTCATTTATTAGGTTAAGAACATTGTATTCCTCTAAAGCTTTGGCAGTGCTTCTAAAATAAAATCTCTTTGCTTCTCGACATATTCTTTCTCCTAAATCTTGAGCATTCCCAGTTTGTGAACCATATAGAATCGGTATTCTTTGGTTTTCAAAATTCATCTGTTCAAGACTAAGTTTTGTTAAAAGCAATATTACATAATTTTTATTCGGATGTACCAACCTTTTAAGTGATTTTCTAAAATTATAAACCGCATATCTGTGATACAATCAGCAATAACAAACAAAATAGCAAATTGCAATATTTTTTAATATTTTGAACTTACTTAACCTATATTTTCATGGCCATGAGCTATTTGCACCTTTGAATATAAATAGTCAGGAAGGAGGAATCCTAAACGACCTTGGAATCGCGATGGTATCTAATTTTGACAGTGAACTAGACGAATATGGCGAGAAGTGTTTCCGGTCTACCAGTGACGTACTGTCATAAGGGTGCGTAAAAAAGAGAATAATAAATTCTTATTTGCATATTATCTAAATTTACGGATTTTTCTCATTTTAACGAATAGCTATTTTCTTGCGAGAAGTTTGCATTTTTTTTAATTAATCATCATTATGTGAATTAATTTCACTTTAAAATTGCATGTTGGGTGGGATAAATATAGGAAAATATTTTCGGTATAAATTATAGAGGGATTTCATTTGAAAACTCAAAGCAATAATGTATTAATAAAAGAAATTTTGGCTTTTTTTACGTCTTTATTATGACAATATTTTTATTAATTTAAATTTTACAAAATGTATAAATTTTACAAAAAACAGTATGTCTTGTTTATTAAGGTTTGAAAATTAAATATGTTTTGTAGATGCGTTAAAAAATAGAACGTTTGTTCAACAAGAGTGGATATGATGGCCATATCGCACGAAGACGAAATTTGAGCACAACGCCGTAGGCATGTATTTGTGTTTGTAATTATATTATGGACGCCTGAGTACATAATAAATATAGTTTAAAAAAACTAAAAAACACGCTTTTATAATTCAAACTAAAAAGTTAAAAATATATTTTTTAACACGCTTTTATTCAAATAAGCTTAAAACAATAATAAATGGAAAATACTAGTATTATTGTGAAAAAAGCGTCGGGCGCTCGATGTACGAGAAATATGGACAAAGCGCCCCACGCTTTTTTTACAATAATACTAGTATTTTCCATTTATTATTGTTTTTAGCTAATTTGAACAAAAGCGTGTTAAAAAAAATATTTTTAACTTTTTCGTTTGAATTATAAAAGTTTGTTTTTTAGTTTTTTAAACTATATTTATTTTTCTCTTTTTAGTTCAAATTATAAAAGCGTGTTTGAAATTGCTGAAAAAAAATACCTCTTTTTCAGCCGTGGGGATTATAACCCACGATCGGTGAGTCTGGCAATCGAAAACCCGCGCCATAGACCGCTCGGCCACGAACGAGTTAGTGGGATATACTGACCGTAATAAGTCACTTGAGTCCAAAGGAGAGTTACAAACATACATACAGGTGAAGCTAATATAAGCGTGTTAAAAAAACTTCCTAATATCGAAGAGATCTGATCATTTTATTACATACTATTATTAGTAATATTTTTTGCAGGACTTAAATTTTGCATAAAAAGATCCTATAAAGTTATAACGATTCTGTGAGTGCAAAGCCCATTACCACAATCTACATATCCATAATATTTATCACCTACAAATTCTGAATGCTGTCTAATCGACATTTCATCAAATACTAAGGAACAAACCAAGTTTTTGTTTGAATTGGCAACTTTTAATTTTAAAAATCCAATGTTTCAGATGTAAAACCTAGCTTGGCATCTACTGAACAGTACCACTTTGACAAAGTTTTTGGATGTGGTAAACTATTGTAAAAACTGTCCCACATAATTATAAGCTTTTGGAGAAAAAAAAAGTGTAATGTAACTGCAAAAGTTCTAACTGAATGTTCATATATTTTTTTAACACTATTTTTTTGAGTTTTTTTAAATAGGCGTTCAACTATTTCCTTATTTTTTCAAAAATATCCTATCATGACATTTTCATGTTGTTCTAATAATAAATGTTTTTGTTTTAACTTACAAACCATACATTACAAAAACATAAGTTGTTTTTTTTGCTGCCATGTTACTTTTTGTAGTTTTCTTATTTTAGTAGTTTTCAAAATATTTTCCTCCTGCAGTTCAGTAATTTTCCTCTTCAGAATTTTTTTTCGAGGAGTATCATCTGAACTCTTTAGAGTTTAGAAAATACCTGGAACAGAAAAAGAACACTGAAGTGGCCTAGAAGGTCCTGGAATGGCCAATAAATCTATTTCCTGAAGAACCTTTCTTTAAAATTGCCTAAAAGATTTGTTTAAATAGAATATGTATATATACCCTATAAACCATGAGCCTATGAGCACAGTTGATCGCATACATACTTACCATGTTTGTTTACAAATTTAAAACATTAAAAATTTTAAAAATCTTTGTTGTGGTTGATAATTGAGAGAACAAAATACTTGCTTATGAATTGTAGTCCCTTCCTTTCTACTTTTAGCTGTGCTGCTGTATCCACAAGAGCAACAACTGACCATATTGTAATGTTTGTCTTTTAACGCGGAAAACTTAAAATTAACACTAAAGGTGGATTCATAAACTACGTTCAGTTCACGCTCAGTTCGAGTTCAACATATACAGAGCAAAATGACACGGTAAGTATGTTTTGGATAAGAAGTTATAACGGATTCATAATTATTTTATAACCAACACCATCTACCAATATAATTAAAACAAAAATAACACCAAAAAATAATTTTATTTTGTGGAATTTGTGGTTATGTCTTGCCAACTGCAACTGAGTGCGAACTGAACGTAGTTTATGAATCCACCTTTATACTGACTAAATACTAAAACACTAAGCAATTTTTAAAAAGGTCTACAAAACATACGTTTGATAAATTTTAAATTAACACATAAAATATCCAAATTATTAAGTACCGATTCCACCGTTGTGTTAAACGAAGTTTAAAATCACATTTTTACATTAACAATGTCATTTTAATCTCCGTTTAACACAACGGTGGAATCGGTCCTAACAAATTTTAATCACTAAAATTAGGAACCAATTTTAGAAACCATTTGTCATATGATGATGAGTCATCCATAGTACAACATGGCTACCACTTCCGTTAGATTGATTAGAATAACGCAGACATGGCATGCTCCTTCCTGACTATTTATATTCAAAGATTTGCACCGACCTTGATATTCGCATTTATTGGCTGCGTTCATCCGCACCACATGCTACCTGATCGATCTGGTAGCGCTCTCGAGTGGCACGTATGAACATCTATGGTATGAACGGTGTATTTTGACATTTCGCTCAAAGAGCGGCCGCCATTAAAAGTAGCGCATTTTATTTACGTCTGGGGGTCGATTCTCGACTTGTAGGAACCTTTTCCTATAGGAATTTGTGACACTTTCCTATATGTAGGAAAATGTCATAAATTTTCGATGTATATAAAAATGTCAAAAATTCGTATAGGAAAATATTCCTACGAGTTGAGAATTGACGGTGATCACTGATCTGTCTTACACGGTTTGCTTGGTGACTAGTAGGGTTATATTAGCAATTGAAAAATAAACAAACCACAAATAAACAAACAAATCTTCAACCAGACATTCAACTCAAAAGTAAAATGAATAAACCACAATCAAATGTCACTTTTAAACATGGTTCATCCGTGCATAAAGATCGATCAGGTAGCGTAAGTGAGCGCTACTTTTGTAGCGCTCCTTGAAATGGCGCGGGTGAACGCAGCCATTCGCTCCGTGCGCGACAGCAGCGCCAATTCGTTTTAATACTAATGGACTATTTCTGCGTATACTGACAAATGCAACTTTTAATATAATTCGTAATTAAAAAGTATATATGTTAGTATTTACTGGAAAATGTATGAGAAGTTGCCTAAGTCTAATAAGTTTTCATTGAAGAATTAGCCTATTCTGTCAAAATAAAAAAATACCATTTAATAATAGCGTGAAGTTAAAAGGTATAAAAAAAGGATCATTACTTATGTTTTCATTTTTGTTCGAAAGAATGAATGATTAAAACTGATTTCCCATCAGTAAGTTATAAAATTGCGTTCCAACCACATATAATAATCAAAGGCAGAAATCTTGAAATCTAGTCCTTGCTGAATGAACATTTAAGAATAAGAGGATATTAAAAAGAACATCGTAAAATGATAATTTATTGTTTATTTAAAACCTTTCAAGTTTCTGATGTCTACTATTTCCAGCATTACGGTTATTATTACAAAAATAAAGGTAATTTTTCTTCTTATTGTATATCTATTCATTTATTTCTTTGATTTAATTTCCACTTTGCTACTGAAATTTTTTATATAAGTTTCACTGTTTTTTTGCTAGTATTTGTACAGTTTTCAACACAGCAACTCCGGTTGCTTATTGTATTGTTTTTACCTACTTTTTTTGAAAAAAAGTAAAATGTATACGTGTATTTGATATGCCAAAATTACAAAATATCGCCCTAAAATGCACGAATTATCCGCAGCTAGCGCTAGTATCGCTTTTGCTTCCCTTTCCATGACTTCGCACGGAGCGAATAAACAGAACTTACCCGCGTCGGACTTTAGGATGTGGACCACAAAGCACGTATCTTCTAGAGACCCCACGCCAATGTTAAACTTTTAAACCAAATTAGCGCCACCTTGTGTTTGGAGCTGGAACTAAAATGACAATTGACAGATGGCGGTAAATTCAAATTGTAATTTTTAGAAGTAGGTAGTAGTTTTAAATTAAATTTTAAATAATTTTCACATAAATTATTTTATAAAATAAAGTATGAAACTAGTAAGTTCGAAACTTTTATTTTACAAAATAATTTAGGTCGATTATACCAAATTTGAGGAATTAATTTGTTATAAGCAGGGGTCCTGATGTGGAGTTGGTTCTGCATATTACATTTTATTAACACTAAAATAATATATTTTATAAATGTCTTTTAAACCGAGGACAAATGTAATATATAGGTATTGTATTAAAAGGTGAATCCTTTTAACTATTCATTCAATGATAAATAGGTATTTTCCTTCCAAATACAGATGGTGGTATTACTCCACTGCTTTGTGTATTACTCTCTTATGTGAAAAATGATTTCGGAATCTAGTCCAGTGATAAATTGATTATCAATTAGTTGTTATACCCGTTTGTCTTTTATGATGCAGATGCATGGTGAATCAATGAAGTTTTTCTCGAAGTTTTCAACGTAGCACCCACAGGTAGCACCAAAATTATTGCAAAACACAGTAGGAAATAGAAAAGCGAAACATCACAATTTTGCAAATAACTAAGACGAAACTATAAACAGAAACCAAAAGCCAAAGCCAACAAAAAATCACTAAAATCAGACGGAAAAATGAGACTAACCAAAAACA